CAGTTATAGTCATGCTCTGCTGGACAGTGAACATGTGCCAGGCCCATTCTAAGTCCTCCCCAGGTACTTGAAAGCAATACTGGCTGGAGAGATGGCTCAGCAGTTAAAAGCACTTGCTGCTCTTGCAGAGGACCCAAGTTTGGTTCCCAGCACCCATGTCTGGCAGCTCACCACCACCTGTAACTCCCACTCCAGCGGCTCTGACACCCTCCTCCGGTCTTCAAGAGCACTTGCACTCATGTGCACATACCCATACATGGACATACAGACGTTATTAAAAATAAATCTTTAAGCCGAGTGGTAGTGGCACAGGCCTTTAATCCCAGCACTTGGGAGGCAGAGGCAGTCAGATCTCTGGGAGTTTGAGGCCAGCCTGGTCTACAGAGTGAGTTCCAGGACAGCCAGGACACAGAAAAACCCTGTCTTGAAAAAAACCAATAATAATAATAATCTTTAAAAAGTCATTAATCTCATGATGACTCCTGAAGATAGATACACCCATTTTAGGGATCAAGGAAACAAGACAAAGATTGAGTTGGTTTCTCAAAGTCATGGCTTCCTTCCTGGCTGCTGGCCAACCTCAGCTTGAGGGTAAGAGATTAGAGAGTCCCAGGATATACAGACCCTCAGCTGGGCCTGGGGATGCATGCCAGCACTTGGGAAGCTGAGTCAGGAAGATCATTGGTTCAAATCTAGCCTGGGCTACTCACTGAGACTCTGTCTCATATCTTACCTCAACCAATAAAAGAAGTATGTGTTGCCTAAGCATGACTGTACCCCATGGTTTCCCAGCCCCTACAGTGCGGGACCGTGGAAAGGTCACATTTCAGGATTGCATCCCCCCAGTCTATCGACCCACAGCTCTGCAGTGGCCTCCCCTCCCAGCTGTCTCACCCGGACCCTTTTCAACCTGCTTCATTACTGGCTTGAACACAGGACACACAATGACACTCGATGCCACCCCCCAACCCCAATCTCCAAACTCAGAGCCCCCAGACCCCTTTCTTTCCATGTGTCCTTTTCTCTCTGAGGCATATAGATGTGGCTCAACTATTGCCAGGCAACAGACTGACATCCCCTCACCAGTTAATTCAGCAAGTACCAGAAAGTCCCTACTGTGTGCTGAGCCCTGGGCTGCAAAGAATAAGAACATCTGCCATCGTGACGCTGGTGTCTCCCACTGAGCTCCAAGGACGGGGAGACAGACAGACAGACAGACAGACAGGCACGCGCACACACACACACACACACACACACACACACACACACACACACACACACACACGCACACCAGGGATGCTCTGCAGCCCTGAGGTGGCCCCTCCTCACCCACTGGCACTCCCTGACCCAGCACCTACATGGGGAAGAACTGGAATCAAGGTCATTCCGTTAGGACTGTTATCACTTCCCAGCTCAGCCCTGAATGCTAGTCCTTTAATCTGCCATCAGCAAAGCAAGAAAGCCTCCCCAAGGAAAGAAGGCTAAGCAGGGTGCTCTCCGCCTCTCCTACAGGATGACTCAGAGGTAGGTATGTGTGTGTGTAACTACTTCAGCAGGAAAAAAAAATAGTGTAAGCCTATTACTGGAATAAAATATTAAAAATGAATCCAGGGTCTAAGCAAAAACGGCTGCAAAGCTTATTAAAAGAAACTAAAGAAGTCAAGAAAGTATCATCTGTGGCCACTCTGCCTGCAGAGTAAAAAAAGATGCCTTGGTTTTTTATTTGTTTTTTTTTTTTTTTTTTCCACACAGGGTCTCATGTAACCCAAGCTGCCCTCCAACTCACAAGGTAGTTAAGGATGACCTTGAATTCTGATCCTCCTGCCTCCACTTCCCAAGTAGGTGCCATAACCTCAAGCTTGTGCCAGACTGCCAGGTTGTGGGTGTCGCTTTGTGCGTCCTGAGCAGGCACTCTACCGGCTCAGCTGCAGCCTCAGTTTCCCACTCTGTATCATTTAGGGGAGGCTTCTTCATATTGGTGTCTGAAGGCCACAAAGGACCGGGAGTTGGGAGACCTGCTTCTTTCCTGACCACCAGCCTTGTGGGACTCGGAGACATGTCTCTGGACCTGTTTCTTTATCGGGCAGATCCAAACAAGGGATTTTGGCTGGTAATCACGATGTGGTCAAACCAGCTGGATTAGCGTTTGTTGGTGGGGAGAGACTGGCCTGACCCTGCACAGGGCACAGGTCCCTGTCGGAGCAGCCCCCGAACAGGACTGACTCACGGCTGGTGGTGTTAGCGAAGCGAGTCTGCTGTTCACTCATTGCTCATCAGCTGGCTGAGCTCAGGTGGCTAATATCACAAGTCTACCCCGGCTGCGCATGACTGCCGTGTGGTCAGTCAACAGTGGCTTGCGAGACCGGTGCTCCTCCCCACTCCCCGCCCTGCAGGGATGAGGCGGGAAGGTCAGGGAATGTGCCTGGGGGCCTGGATCGCTGCCACATTTGTGATGTGAGTGAGTGCATGTGTGTTTTAGTTTGTGTGGAGGTCAGAGGTCAACATTGGGTGTCGTCATTCTTCAGGAGCTGTCCACCTTGTTTATTAAGATGATTTCTTACTGAATGTGGAACTTGGCAAGTGAGCTAGGCTGCTTGCTGGCCAGAGAGCCCCGGGGGATCTGCCTGTCTCTGTCCCCCCAGCCAGGGATGGCAGGCACATGCCATCACTCCCAGCATTTTACATGGCTCTGGGGCGGGGTGAAGGGGGGGAATTGATCAAACTCAGATCCCCATGCTTGCAAGGCAAGAACTTTGTTGAGTGACTCCCCAGGCCCACAGTTAGTTAAGTTGTACCTCTTCTCTGGTGGTCCCACGCTGGGGGGGGGAAGGGGAGCACCTGTGGGTCAAATGTCGCATCTGACCTTGACTTCTGACTAATCAGGAAATGTATCTCCAGGAACAGCCCAGGCAAGTCCGAAAGTCACACCAACACCAGTTAGAGACAGTAAGGATGCTGTCGGCAAACATGGTCTTGAAGGCCTTGGCCTCCTAGGCTGCACTGTCTGAGGAGTCAAGGAAATCTCAGAGGGGTTTCCTGTGTCTCTGTTAATATTAGTGTGCTCCCTGTTCCCACAAGGCTCTGCAGCAGCCAGTGTGAGCAGTGGCCACAGGCAGGCACTGTCTGAGGTGGCCAAGAGCAGGCAGGGGTGGCTGCTTCCTGCAGGTAAGGCTTTAGGAACTGGATACAACATTCCCCAACAGTGTCCATGCCTGGGACCCAAAGATGCAGCTAGTCAGTGGCCCACCAGTCCCCTGCCTAAACACATCCGGGTTGAACGGGCTCATCGTTGCCAGGCTTTGGCATGTTAGACCCCAGCCTTTCTCTGAGTGTTGCCGTCGGCATGCTCCATCAGCCTGGCTCTCCCCTCGAGAATTTGGCAAAACAGCTGAAGCCCCTTTAGGGGACAGACTCTGTCCCGTGGGAGTGAGATGATCCACCTGTGCCAACTGGGCCATGAAGTTGGTGTGAAGGCAGCATGGAGTTAATATAACATCAAGGAGGGTCTGGGCCAGGCAGAACATTTAGAGGATGGCATAAATTAGTCAATGCCACAAGGACCTGAGTGGGATCACTTGGACCTAATCAGAAAAGCTGGGCATGATGGCATATGCTTGTAACCCCAGCACTGGGGAGGCAGAGACAAATGGATCCCTGAGGCTCACTGGTCGGAGAGCAAAACCTACTTAGAAAGTTCCAGGCAAGTGAGAGACCCTGTCTTACAAAACAAAACAAACAAACAAACAAACAAACAAACAAAAAGTCCCCCAAACAGTAAGAACAAAAGCCAAGGTGGACAGAGCTTAAGGATTGACAGGCGAGGCTGTCTCTGCCTCCACGTGTACAGGCACACACATTTATGTGCCCCCACAGGCATGTGCACCTGCACACAGGTGAGCATGCACATACCCACAGTAAAAAGGGAAGTAGTTGGGGCTGGGGAGGGGCCAGTGGCTTCCTCTGTGCACTGGGAGAAAAGGGTGGGCCTTTTCTTCCTCAGCTGAGGCAATAAGATCACAACTTCTGGGCTACAGATAAGTTCAAGGATACCCTGGGCAACTTAGTGAGACCCTGTCTCAACATAAACAAAGAAAAAAAAAAGGTAGGGATGTAACTCAGTGGTAGAGTACTTGTATAGCTTATAGGGAGATCCTGGGTTTGATCCCAGCAAAAACAGTAAGAGAACATCAAAACCATTAACACTAAGAAAGACAATGACTTACGCACTGGGATCCTGAGGTCAAAAGGGCTTGAGGCTTGTAGTGACTGTTTTATTTGTATTGATTATTTATACTGACTATTTTATTACTTTGGTTTTGAGACAGGGTTTCATGTAGCTCAGGCTGGCCTCCAACTCACTAAGTAGCCGAGGATGGCCTTCAACTTCCTGCCTCCACCTCCGGAGTGCTGCTCTTACAAGCGTTCACTGCCCCCTACCCCGCAACCCTGCCACCCCCGTTTAGTTTATGTGGTGCTGAGACTCAAACCAGGGCTCCGCACACGCTGTGCAGGCACTCTACGGGCTGAGTTGCCCCACCCCCAGCCCACGGTCTGGCTTCTAATCAACGGGGGTGGGGGGTGGGTGGGGGGTGGGGGTGGGGTGTGTGTGTGTGTGTGTGTGTTCTTCAGGCCTCCACGCCACCCCACCCCACCCCAGCTGAGGCCAGGGACAAGACTATGCCTTTCTTACTCATTCCTGTGCCTGGTGAATGAATGAATGACTCCAATTCTGATGTCATTTACTCAACTGCTAATTTTGTCTGTTTTTCTGGGGAGGGTAATACTGGTACCAGCAAGGCTCTGGCTCTGGTATCTGGACCATAACACTGCTGTGTGTCTTCATTCTAGTTACTTAACCTCTCAGTGCCTTGCTTTTTCTCGAATGAATGGGAGAGGGGAGCAGATGAATCCGCCATGGGTTTGCGCAGCTCTTCCAGCGTGCCTGGAACACAGTGAGCGCCTTTGGAAGAACCTGTGACTATTATTTTCTCCCTTCTCAGATCCAGCCAGGACCTCACTCCTCTGCCTGAGCCAAAGCCCACAGAGGTGGTGCCAGATGCCTGTGGGTGGGAAGATGGCGGCCTCTGAGAGGCCACTGGCAGGAGCCTGAAGTGGGCAGGGCTGGAGGCCTGTGGTCCAGCAGCGGCATGACCTCACCCCCCTGTCCTCTGTGTCCCGAGGTGAGCATGTCAGGGCGGGGCTTGGCCTTATGGGGTCCCTGCACCCTGAGCAGCTTCTGCAGCTGGAGTGAGGGTGGGTGAGATGAACTGCGTTAGCACTGCGCTGAACCCTGCTGGGTGACTGATGTCCTACATGGGCAGGATGCAGCCACCAACCTGGGGCCCGAGGCTGACATAGAAAAAGAAAAGCAGAGGCGTGTTTATCCCTGAACTTGGGGCTAAGAGTGGAGAACCGAGCAGGAAAGCAGATGAGACAGTGGACAAGCTGCTTCTGTATGCACCGCTGCCTGCTGATGTCACTGTCTGACTCCCTTGGCTCAGAGACACCCGCTGTCCAAGAACCCACTGGGCAAAGTGGTGCCATATGGCTTTCTTAAATGAATAAATAAGACCATGTCTCATTTAAAAATGGGAGCTGAGGCAGCATCTCAGTGGGTAAAGTGCTTGTCTTGCAAGTGTGAGGATCTGAGCTTGAATCCCAAAATCCACAAATAAGCTGGACATAGGCTGGGGAGATGGTTCAGTGGGTAAAGTGCTTGCCGTAAAAGCATGAGGTCACACGCACACACACACATGCACACGTGCACACGTGCACACACACTTTTAACTTCAGGGATGCAAAGCTGAGAGGTAGAGACAGGTGGATTCTGGAGCTTGCTGGCCACCTAGTCCAGCCTAGGTAGTGACATTCTAGGCCAATGAGAGACACCGTCTCAGATGAAAAGTGGACAGTATCTGAGATACGACACCTGAGGTTGCCCTCTGACCTACACACACAGAGAAAACAAACCAGCAAGCAAACAAAACCTCATAAATCAAAATTAGTTTCTTGCCCTTCTTTCCCATCTCAGCAGGTGGCAACTGTCTTATGGGTGCTCGGACCCAACCCAGACCCACCTTTAAACCGTCTAGACACCACACCCATTCCTTCAGTATTCTGCGTGCGTGAGCTTAAAATACGCCCTCCCTATTCCCTATTCCCGCACAGCCTCTCTCGTCCCACTCCATGCCGTGCATATGGGGTCATGAACCACATTTACCTCCTTTGGGGTCTCCGGTGTCTGCCTTCGACCCCTCTCGTCTGGAACCTGGCAGCCAGTGAACTGGTCGAAGCATCAGGCAGGCCCTTGCTCCTCAAATCAAAACCCTCCCCCGGCTCTGTTTAACTCAGGCCTCTCTGCAGAGGCATCTCCCAGCCTCCCAGGCCTCGGGCCTGCTGATTCCGTCTTGCCCTCAATACGCTCCCTTGGCTCCAGCTCCCCAGCCTCCCAGTTGCTCCTAGGAGGGCTGCTCTTGCCGCCCTGGGCCTCGAACACCTGTCTGGCCCGCCTCTGCTCCTACACCACCCAAGCAGCAAAGCCTCCTTTGCCATCTTTCGAATGTGCCCGAGGCTGGGAGATGGCTCAGCTCGTAAAGTGCTTGTCATAGGAGCGTGAGGACCCGATCCAGTCCCCTGGAATCCAAGTTAAAAGAGCTGGGCATGGTGGTGTGGTGTCTGTAATCCCAGTGCTCAGGTGGTGGGAACAGGTGGACACTGGGGCCCGCGGTTAGGAAGCCTACTTGGTGAGTTCCAGGACACAGAAAGACTGTTTTGAAAGACAAGGTTGGGTTGGGAGATGGCTCGGTGGGTCATTCACTTATTGTGCAAGCCATAAGATCTGACTTCAGGTCCCCAAAAACCGCATAATGTTGGATGCTGTGGTGCACATCTGCAGTCCCCGCACTCCTGGAGAGGAGGGATGTACAGACAGGAAACTCTCCAGAAACTTGAAGGACAGCTAGTCTAGGGTAAGTAGAGGCAAACGACAACAGACCCTGCCTCAAACAAGGTAGGAGGTGAGGACCAACATGGAGGCCTCTACAAGTGCTCCATGGCAGGTACATACCCACACTTATAGGCGGCAACACACACACACACACACACACACACACACACACACACACACACACACACACACACACGGGCACGCGCGCGCACACACGTGCGCTGGCACTCTTTCCCTGCTATGTCCTCCTCCTCAGTGCTCGAGAACTTCTAGGTACCTGCTCTCCCTTGGCCTTGCCTCGCTTAAGTATACATGAGTGGGGACAAGCCACAACGGTACCCCGACAGCTCCCAGGGGAGGTGGCGGGTCATACCTGCTTCACAGCCAGGTTGACCAAGTCGTAGCGGTGGGAGCGGCGCAGCGGCAGGCAGAAGCTGTAGAGAGCGTGCAGCACCGCGAAGAAGAAGCTGAGCAGCCCGATCTGCTTGCGATGCTGCATCCAGTGGTCCAGCCAGTCCGGGAAGCGCTGGTACTTGGTCCCCCTCCTCAGCTGAAGGGCGGCTGCCAGCACACCAGGCAGGTACACCAGGGACAGCAGCACGTAAGCCACGCAGGGTAGTGTGGTGTTGACCACAGACAAGGGCATCTTGTAGAACTTGTTCTCGTTCTTCTGCACGTACGGCTGCAGGACATCCCGGATGAAGTTGTAGGCGTAGAAGAACACAAAGAGCCCCAGTGCCAGAAGGGTGGGCACCTTCCAGGAAGGGAAGAGGCGCAGGGGTATGGCTTCCACCTCCCGGGCTGAGGCCAGGGATCCCATATCCAGGGGTGTGAAACCCATGGCACGTGCCATCTCGGAGATGGTGTGCTTGGCTTCCAGCTGGTCACTGCAGATGAGCACCTGTAGGAAGAGAGAAGGGGACAGTTGGCTAGAGTCACAGGCATGGCTACGATGACTGCCAGGGTCAAGCTCCTCAGTGAGTTGAAGAAACTGAGGCACAGAGTGGCAGGCACCGGTTCCAGCGAGTGGTCAAATTGATGATAGAACTAAGAGTGCAAGATGGCTCCGGTGCTCAAGGCAAGGATCTGGGGACAGGGGCCCTGTGGCCTCCCCCGGGGATCCACCACTGAAGAGACAAAGCTCTCCCTGTGAATGTCCTGTTGGCTCGGTGACATCACTGTCATGGTAGATGCTCAGTCAGGCAGCCCATGAAGCCTCTGCAAAAGCTTCTTCTCAGTGACTGCCTCTTGCATGTGGCCGCTGAATGTTCAGCAGCAACTGCAGATGCATCCTTCAGGGCAGAGGTATTCTCTATGGTGTTATCCCTTGGTTCCCCAGAGACCTCAGTCCCCAGCCCTGCCTGCCCTGCTGTCTCAGCCTGTAAGTCCACTGTACCTCCTGAGCTCCAATGGAAGACACATGGGTGTCTTTGGGTCCCTAAGGATCATGAGCGCCCTTGTTGACACAGCTGAGAGTCTGGGTAGTCTGAGTAGTGCTCTCAGCCTCCTGCACAGCCTGCAGGTCAGTACTAATACTCCACCACCTTTCAGATGAACAGACTAAGGTCTGAGAGCCTCCGTTTTTACTCTGGTCCTTTGCAGGTTGTCAAATCAGCCTGGGGTGCCCTCTCTGCTTCCTGAGCCTGAGTCTAAGGCCAGCTGATGGTGTTCTCCAGCAAGTCCTCTTGCTCTGTGCCCTCCACGCCCTCTGTCCTAGTCAGCTTGAACTGTCAACATGGCCATTAAGTCATCTGAGAGGAGAGCCTCAATGCAGGGATTGCTCAGATCAGATGGACCCGCTGGCAGTCTATGGGGGATTGTCTTAATTGCTAACTGATGCAGGAGGGTCCAGCCCACTGTGGGAGGCACCATTCCTAGGCAGGGGGTCCTGAGCTGTATTAAGGAAGCTAGTTAATCATGAGCCTGGATGAGCCAGCGAGCAGCGTTCCTCCATGGTTTTTGTGGTACTTCCTTGGCTGGGAGTGAGTTCCCAACACAGAAGTGATGCTGCATGGACTCGCACAGAGGTCTGGGTGATGAACTGTGACCTGTAGGCTGGAATAAGCCCTCTGTCCCCCACGGTGCTTTCAGACAGTGTTTTTATGGGTATCTAAACTTAGGTTCTAATGGTTACATAACATGTATTTTACCCACTGCAGCAGCTCCCCAACCAAAATATCTCCTTCTTGGCTCCTAAGTCAACAGCCACCATCTTCTTACTCTGAGGAAACCCAGTTCCCATCTCAAGAAGAACATGGATCCCATGTCCATATAGGGTTCAAATTCCAATTCACCAGCACCGGTCTAACATCATTAATGTCTCCAAGATTTGTCTTCCTGCTGTGTAAGATGAGATTTTTTTCCTTTGGTTTTTTGAGACAGGGTTTCTCTGTGTAGCTTTGTGCCTTTCCTGGAACTCACTTGGTAGCCAAGGCTGGCCTAGAACCCACAGAGATCCACCTGTCGCTGCCTCCCAAGTGCTGGGATTAAAGGCGTGTGCCACCACCGCCCGGCAAGATGAGATTTTTTATATAGTGACGTGAAGGATGCTGACTGCCATTCCCTAGCACATACCTGTCTGTTCCCATCCCTTGGACCAGCCTGTAGGGCCCATGCAGAGATGACATTGAAGGCCTTGACCACAGTGCAGGCAGGGAAGAGGGAGGCCAGGTACTCGGCATTAGACTGGCAGTGCTCAAGATGCTCCGTCTCCGTGGGGTTGCTGACATCCACTAGGATCTTGCCGGCCAACTGCTCACCAAGACTGCACAGTGAGGAATAGTGCTCCCGGAACATGGCTACAAAGATGACCTGTGGAGAGCTCACAGCCTCCTCTTGGAAAGTCACTTGGGCTGCCGAGGGAAAGAGGCCAGCCGTGCGTTTGGGGTTACGGCTCCCCACCACCACGCTGAAGCCAGAGCTCACCAGGCGCGTGGCCAGGGAGCGGGCAAAATCCCCACTGCCCAGAATGCCCACTTTGGGGGCCTTGCTGGGGACCTCGGCCAGGCTGCCATCGCTGTCGACCAGGCGGCGACTGATCAGCGGCTTGTTCATCTCCCCCGACATTGCGGTGGCTGTAAGAGAATGCAGAGACCTGGTCACTGAGGGCTCCCAGGGTGTCTGCCCCCCACCTCCCACTCTGTGTCAAACATGGCTGGTTAGGCCTTCATCCAGCAGACGTCACTGGGTATTCCATTTGCAAACACAGGGGAAGAGCTGAGCAAGAGCAGCACCTACCCGGAAAATGCACAGGGAGTGGGGGGCACTCCTACCCACCGAGGAGGGCTGGAAAGACAGAAAATAAAGGCTGGGAAGATGGCTCAGTAGTTAAAGCCCTTGCCATGCAAGCAGGAAGACCAGAGCTTGGATCCCCAGCACCCACATAAATGCTGGGTGGGTCCGGAACTCAGAAAGCAGAGAGGGGAGAACCCTGGAGCATGCTGAATAGCTATAGACTAGTCATACTGGTGAGCTCTGGGTTCACCGGGAGACCCTGCCTCTTTGAGTAAGGTGGAAAACAACAGAGGCTAGATATAGGCTAGCCTTTGATTTCCGCAGGCACGTGCGTCCACATGCACACATACCACACACAGACACATGGGCAAAGAAAGAAGACAGGGGCACTGAAGAGAACATGGCGAAGGGAAAGGAATCTGGGTGAAGCCTCTCAGCAGCTGAAAAGCAAGAATTCCAGCATGGTGAATGATGCTGTGATGTTGCCGTGACATGGTAGTGATGGCTGCTGACACTGATTGCACTTGTTTCTACAGAGAAGAATGGTAAAATAGCAATGGCCTGGGATGGGGAGATGGCTCCGAGGATAAAATGCTTGCCACACAAGCTTGACTTGGGATCTTCAGAATCCACGTACAAAACTCAGGTGTGGTAGCATATATGCTCATATGTACAGAATCAGGCAGATCCCTTGGGAACCACTGGCCTTCCAGTGTAGCTGAATTGGTTTCAGGTCCCAGTGGGAGACCCTGCCTCAAAAAAAATAAGATGGGGAGAGACTGGAAAAGACACCTGACATTGATCTCTGGCCTGCACACGCACACGCACACACAAATTAGAAAAAAAAAAAAAAGAAGATAACAGTGCGTCCCTTACAAGGTTGCAGAAATAAGTTGAAAGGGCTGGGCACACCTACTCTCACAGGTGTCATAAGTACTGAGCAAGCACTGGCTGCAGGAGAAGACCCTCTGCACCAACGCCAGGCACCTTTTAGGAGATGAGCCGGGGTGTCAGGGGCAAGTGCTCTACAGGTTGGCAATGGAGACCCTCTGTCCAGCCACCTAGAACCTGGGGGCATCCCACCTGACCCCGCAGGCTTCCAGACTAGGGTGTCCACATTTGCTAACCATTTGTGTGACCTCAGAAGCCTGGATGGACAGAAGTGTGTCTTCCATCTCGACTCTCAAATTGCTGAGGCAGGAGAACAGGGCAGAGAATAAGGTTGGGGAAGGCTTTATGCAAAACCTTACAAAATTAGCACATAAAAATTGTCAGAAGAGCCGGGCGGTGGTGGCGCACGCCTTTAATCCCAGCACTTGGGAGGCAGAGGCAGGTGAATCTCTGTGAGTTCAAGGCCAGCCTGAGCTACAGAGTGAGTTTCAGGACAGGCTCCAAAGCTACACAGAGAAACCCTGTCTCAAAAAAACCAAAAAAAAAAAAAATTGGCAGAAGGAAAGCTTGAAAATCCAGTACCAAGCTGTTTTAAACCGACATACAGACCAATGGAATCAAATTGAAGACCCTGACATTAATCCACGCACATATGAACAATATGAACACCTGATATTTGACAAAGAAGCCAAAACTATACAATGGAAAAAAGAAAGTATCTTCAACAAATGGTGCTGGCATAACTGGATGTCAATATGTAAAAGATTACAAATAGATCCATATCTGTCACCATGCACAAAACTCAAGTCCAAGTGGATTAAAGACCTCAACATAAATCCAGTTACACTAAACTTAATAGAAGAGAAAGTAGGAAGTACACTTGAACGCATTGGCACAGGAGATCACTTCCTAAATATAACACCAGCAGCATAGACACTGAGCATAACAATTAATAAATGGGACTTCTTGAAGATGAGAAGCTTTTGTAGGGCAAAAGACACAGTCAATAAGACCAAAAGACAACATACAGAATGGGAAAAGACCTTTACCAACCTCATATCTAACAGAGGACTGATCTCCAAAGTATATAAAGAACTTAAGAAACTAGACATCAAAATGGGCTAAAGAGCTAAACAGAGAATTCTCAAAAGAAGAATCACAAATGGCTGAAAGACAATTAAGGAAATGCTCAACATCCTTAATCATCAGAGAAATGCGAATCAAAACGACTCTAAGGTACCACCTTACACCTGTCAGAATGACTATGATCAAAAACACTAATGACAGTCTATGTTGGAGAGGATGTGGAGCAAGGGGAATACTCCTCCACTGTTGGTGGGAGTGCAAACTTGTACAACCACTGTGGAAATCAGTATGGCAGTTTCTCAGAATGGGAATCGATCTACCTCAAGACCCAGCCATACCACTCTTGGGCATATACCCAAGGAATGCTCAATCATACCACAATGATACATGCTCAACTGTGTTCATAGCAGCACTATTTGTAATAGCAAGAACCTGGAAACAACCTAGATGCCTGTCAACTGAAGAATGGATTAAGAAAATGTGGTACATGTACACAATGGAGTACTACTCAGCAGAGAAAAACAATGACAGCATGAAATTTGCAGGCAAAAGGATGGAACTAGAAAATATCATCCTGAGTGAGGTAACCTAAACCCAGAAGGACAAACATGACATGTACTCACTCATAAGTGGATTCTAGATATAAAGCAAAGAACAATCAGACTGCAACCCACAGAACCAGGGAGGCTATATAGCAGGGGGGACCCTAGGATGACTGTGGCTTAGAATAAGTTTTGGTTTTACTCAAATAAATAAATAAATAAATAAATAAATAAATAAATTAAATAAGTTGTTAAAAAATCCTTGGCCTTGGCAATTGAATCAGGCCACTAGCGCAGGTGTGTGTGAGTGTGTGTGTGTGTGTGTGTGTGTGTGTGTGTGTGTGTGTGTGTGTGATGTACATGTGTGCATATTTGTGAGTCTGTGTATGTGTGGACATCAGAGGACAGCCTTCTATGTTGGTCCTGACTGTCTACCATGTTTGAGACAGGATCTGTTTTTTTTTTTCCTGTGCACACACCAGGCTAGCTGGCTCACTTCCCATCTCCATATAGGAATGCTGGAGTTACAGATGCTCACTACCATAGCTTTTTTTGTGGTTCTGAGGTTTAAACTCAGATCCTCCCACCTGAACTGCAAATGCTTACCCACTGAAGCACTTCCCCAGCCCCTGTCCTCACAGTTCTTCATGGGTATGGCCACACCCAGCACAAGGCCTGCCACTGGTCTGATGGCCATGGGGAGGGACAGAGTAGCTGGCACATATCCCAGAGTTCTGAGAGGCCTAGAAGTTACTGCTGCCTGTGTGTGTGGTGGAGGTTTGAGTCCTCTGGTCTGGCCTCTAGCTGTGCCTGGCCCCTGATGTGGGATCTATTTATAGACTGAGGGCACAGAGAGAGGGGATCCAATTGCAGCTGGTGAGCCTAGGTCTACAGCCTGCACACAGATCTACTCACCTCCCTGCCCAGCTACAGACAAAAGTGCACTGTGGTTGGGGTGACCCAGTGCCCTCTGGGTCTCTGCCAGGCTCCTTATCCTCTCTCACATTCCAGAAGAGCCAAAACATGGACTGCAATTTTGGCTGTGATGTTTAACCAACCTGCCAGCCATGCAAGAGCAGGCAGGAATGAGGACCAGTCATGTTGATCACCACCCTAGCCTTTTCACATGGGTTGTGCCAGCCCTTCAGATTCTAAGTGGTCATGGATGGCCACCAGGAATCCCTTGGGTGCAGTTATCCTTACAAATTACAATACACACCATAAGGAAGAGCAGGCAGATTCCCACCCAGAGCCCAGGATTACCTCAGAGTGCCAGGGGTGCCCGTATGTTATCTTCGGGTGTGTGTCCACACTCTCAGGCTGCAGCCCAGGGCTTTGCACACACCACGGCTCGAATTCATTCTACCACCAAGCTACATCCTCTGCCTACTTATGGGTTTGTTTTTTCTTTAACCTTTGTGTGCCTGTGTGCGTGCATGTGTGTGTGTGTGTGTGTGTGTGTGTGTGTGTGTGTGTGTGTATGGTGTTATGGGGGTGGGGTGAAAGGGTGTGCACATCCCCACGGTTCAAGTCAGGAGGTCAGAGAACAACCTCGATGCTGGTCCTCACCTACAACCTTATTTGAGGTGCACAACAGGCTAGGTGGGCTGCAAGCTCCGAGGATCCGCCCATCTCTGCCGCTCAACTTGTCATAGGAACACTGGGATTACATGCCGCTGCATGTGGCTTGTATGTAAGTTC